TACTTACAAGTTAAAATGATTGTCCTTGATCTCATCATTTAMTGATTGGTTTGTGATGTACGAGTAAAGAAACTGATTGATGACAACAKGGTGTATAAATTACGCTCGCTCCTTTATTTCCTTTTTATTTCCAGCAGTGATTTAAATAGATATTTAAAAATCAATCTATTAGGTTATTGATTATACTTTATAGAGCTTYGCTCCACATTTTGAGAATTCATGGCTAAAAATTCCTTGCAAATGTTTCAGCTACCAGTAGGGGGAAGATTAGAGTTGCTTCGCCATAAACCTACAAAAGATAAGTTACTTGGTTTTAAAATGAAGTTATACATTTGATAGACACATCATTAAACCAGTGAAAGAAAAATATATACCCGTCAAACAAGGCTAATAGTCATGGTCCAATAGTTCATTACAACATGGTCGTTATATACTATGAAGACAACACAACACTAGCAAAGTTCTCAGTTTAATATAATCGCATATCATAGACATTCTCTAAGTTTTGAAGCAAGCAAGGACATATAGCAGCACTCCCTTATGCAACAGATGGCTTTCTTTCCATGTGGGATAAATAATTATTCAAAATGATCTCTGTTAAAGTAACTTGCGCATGCTTGATAGCGACTAAACTCAGCAGTTACTTTGTTCGTCATTTATCTCACTGTAATTCATGTTAATTAATGTCCGTATTGTATGGGAAGTATGATGTCTACAATGAGCTACAACATGGCCGCTCATGTAAACTACATAGACATAAACAGATAACAGATAGTTTATTACTTCAAATAATAAATAATAATAGTAAACTGAAATCAATAAAGTTAACGACTGCTATAAGGTGTGTTCGTCTAAGATCTRTTTTAGGAAAAGAATATCAATCTTTTATTTAATGATAAGTACAATTGACTCTAAACTCCACCTTAACTGGGGTAGCATTAGGTTTAATCTTGCCCCATGACACAGCCTCGTCAGGTCTTGCTCCAGAGTCACTGCCATCAAACTCTTGCGCAGTATTAACAAACACAGAAAAGTCCGCTCCGTTTCGCTAAAAAACATTAATCATGGTCGTATTTAAGTTTAATGGGCTACCAGAATATCGAAATTTAGCACCTCAATAGTGAACCCAAAGATTAATAAATAAAGTAGGGGTGKGGTGGTGATGTTTGTACGTAGATCTAATCAAATTTGGTATTAAGATACTTTAGACCTTTGAGATGCTTTTGGAAAACTAGGGGGATTCACACGAGGCAGTAAAAAAGAGGGCAACCCTTTTTTCCCCCTCCCCCCCTGCACAGGTTAGACTTACCATCATATTAGCATTGCAAGTGTGATGTTTGATTAACCCTCCTCCTAATATAATCATGCCTGTATTCTTTGCTTGGACTGCATGATTGTTTATATTTCTGACATCTGAATGTCAAAACAGACTAAATTTAACCAAATGAATTAATTATGGGCCAAGTTCAACACTTGTGTGCAACACTGTGCAACAATATTACAGTACATGACTGGTCAAGAAATTATGGGTTATATTCCATGCCGTTAATGATGAACATAATACCTTCTACGATATCGATGACAAGTCCAGGATTAGAATAYGAATGGAAATACATTGCATCACCAAGAGCACCATCAGTAACAGCTGGASAGAACACTGGAATATTATTCTGAAAAAAAAAAGATTTCTCATTTCTTCTACATATTTAGAGATAGCAAGAGCATTGCAATTTKGATTAAAAGATTCAGACGTGATAATGGGACTCTGATAATAGATGTGGCAGCAATCTCTTCCAATATCTCGATATCACATTAGTTTATTTGTATCTTTTGTTATGTCAGTGTATATTATTGTTGRCAGTAATCCTAAAACATTCCAAAAACGAAAGGGCATGAAGAATCCTGAYCCCCCTTCCAATACTCCAATTTCGAGTTCTGGTTTGCTGGCTTGCTCTGTGTTACCCTCAAAACCAAGCAACATATTCTTTTGTTTCATTGATGGCCTGAAAAAAGGCATGGAATTTGCGAAGAAAGACAATAAAATTGATTTGAAGTATCACACTTTTCTGCACACAATATTAGGAAGAGTGCGTACACAAACAAGGCTAACACAGAGCATTGGAGAATCCAAAACTGGAGTATAATTGCCATATTGGATGTGTTTATGATGATACACAATACACTGATGTCTACCGTCATAAGCTTTTACCTTGTATGCCCAGTAATATACTGACTCAGGATGGTTGATTTCTTTACCAAGTCTATGAATGAACTTTGAGGGAGTCCACTTGAAACCCTTCATATTATGACAAAATGAAGCAAGTTAATCAATCAAGCAACAACGGCATTCTTCTTTGCAAAAGGCAGAAAAACACTCAATGGTAACATGCTCAACAACAACATTGCATTTAGGGGTTCAGGGGGGATGAAATTACAGCGGGTGTTGCTTAAAATTAGGAAATTCGCTGGAATGGTCCAAGGATTTTGTCAACGATTGTACCTTGCTGCCAGTCAAAAAAGCAGACATTCAATAATTATAAACTAGCAAGTTGATATCAAAAGCAGCCYAGTTTACAGTAAAGTAATCACTACAAAGTGCAAGCATCTGTCATATTAGCCAATAAAATGTCTGTCTAAAACAAAATTCAAATCGGCACTTAAAATCCTAGTGTCTACATGTAGCCAGCTGTCAGTCATTATGCTTTTTGTACCATTTTTATTGCCAGCGTTTTGGCAGGTAGACGTGACCTGCAGGGATGGGTTGAAGGGTATTAGTATCCCTATGCTATGCTCAGGCTGCATGTATGTTTGCACTACAAGATTTTCCCCGATTAATTAATCCATTGATATTCCTTCAAACTCAACATGACCTATCACCGAAATCAAACACACTCTCTAAGGAGTAATACCTCTTTTTGTTCCTCCAGCATTTTGTCCAGTATAGGAAGAATCCAGTCCTCAAACATACAATAATTTTTGTTAGGAACCACTAAGTTACCAATTCTATTATGTCCTTTGGATCTGAGGGTTTTGCCACTAAGTCTGAAGTCTCCTAAGTATGTTGGTGCCAAGCACTTCATGATGTCTTCCTCTATCCCTCCAGCAGTGTTTACAATACAGTCAACCTGGGAATAGCAAAATATGGTCTTCAGTAAAATATATTGCTACCTGCATTCAATTCCCTGCCCCTCTAAACAGGAAGACAAAAGGCGAAGTAAACATTTCCACAGTCTCGTGCTCAGCAGATCTTCCCACAGTCAAAAACATCCAGGGTCAGGATTACTATGGTCAAAAGCAACACCTGCTCTGCCGCAAAGTTCACTGATAGATGTTTCATAGCCATTGTAGCTACAAACAAGATGGAATAGGGTATTTCCACGATGTTGTAACTTTACTACAACTACCACAATGCCTTAATAGGCATTTCCTTTGTTGTTCAGATTTTAAATTCATTATTTCAGACATTTTAGTAAAAAAATTGCTACTTAAATCACATTAAAAAAGAAAGTGCCCAAAGCATTCTGGTAGTAATTAATAATGCCATTTTGTAAATATGCTCTTGAATACAGAATGAAACACAATAGAAATGTAAATGTTCAGTTGGGTTTCCTTTGCTKTGYTYCACCATTTTGAAAACATGCTCTGGTCCCACAATGCCTTTCAAGGATTCTATCGCTACAGAAGAAGACCAACAGCTAAGCAAGAGACTGTGGAAGAATCATYATAATTACCATGTTGTTTTTGACTAAGTAACATATWGTCTCTCGTACACCAGACGATATCATATTAGATGTATATGACAAGAATATTGAACAGTTGCTCTTGAGTCGTCCATTAGGAAGATAATCTACTTCAGGATGTTCAGTATTTCTTTCATAAGTCTCTTTCTTTTTAGCAATCTGTGTAAATACATCAAAGCCATCTGTTATACATATGACATTTTAATTATGGCTAATATTATCTCATATTGGCTAAACAAATTGCCTTATTGAATCAACTGCCTTACCATTTTATTAATTTCTTCTACTGCCTTTCCAAAGTGCATTGCTTGAAACCCAGTGTAACGATAGCTGCTGAGAAGAGCATGGTAGTCTACTCCTTGACTAAAATCATAGCCTTTGCAAGGCAATGAATCTTCAGGCATTGGATCGCTCTTTTGAAGGACTGAATCTATAGCCACTTGTGGAGCTGCTGAGTCCGCCATTTACCTCAAAAGTTCAATTTAGAAACACAAATATAATTTAAATGACGTTTCTAAAAAACATTTCTTTCAAAAAAACCTTTCTGAGAAGAATGCGTGACATAGCGTGACAACCCGGTGAAATGTGACCGAGGGGACTGGTAAGCAACAAAAATGGCGGCCCGCAGACTGTGGAGAAAGCTTTTAAAAGTTCCTTGCAAAAATCAAGCTAATTTTGTTAGAGCAGGTAAATAGAGATATCTAATCTGAAACTCTACAAAGTGGACTAATGCACAATGTCTAAAGAAAAACTTTCAATGAATTTTGTTAATGTAAGCGTACATGAAGAAATAGACAGCACGCATTCCAAGGATAACGCATCAAATGGTACAAATTAATAATCCAGTTTCAAACGAATTCCAGAATTCAAAGCGAATAACCGCTGTTTATTTGACAGCAGATTTTCTTACGCAAAGACCTTACCAAAAACAAAAGCGCTAACAATTTACATTTTCCCGAGTTGAAGCTAACCATTAATTCCCACAGAAGGTTTAAACCTTTGGTATTATTGGAAAACAGGGTTATAGTCTCAACTCGGAGAAGATGCAACATTCTTTCGTGTTTTCTTTATTTTACTGCAGGCCCGTAGGCTGCCTTTCAAAAACAGCTCATAGCAAAAGAATTTGAAATAGAACAATAAAAAAAGAGAAGCTAGTATAAGAGAATTCATTGTCAAATAAAGCAGCGGTTGAAATTACACAAAAATATCAATTCTCTCCATTTTTCAATATAGTAGATCTATTTGGTTTCTATTTTAGTGAGATATCAGTCATGTAGAACTGTCTCTGTTGATGCAACAGCTGTTGATAGTGATGCTGTTGATGAACCACTATTGAGCAATGAGGGGTTCAAGTTATATCCAAACCACATACCTACTACTGCTTTACAAAAGGGTCTTCTTGCTGTTGGGTCGGCATTTATGGGATTGTATGACCCTACACGACAAGGTATATTAACATATTTGAAGCATTGAAGTTTGGGGTAAAGGAGGCTTGAATACCTTATTTTTGGGGATTATTAAAAAACAAGCTTACAAGAGGAAAACATTTTTGGGGGTTGGTAGTTCAGATGCAAGTGCCAGTTCTGGAAACATGTTAAATTGTTAATTGTGAAACATGTGAAAATATGTTATGAAAGAGGGCTGTAAAAGTTTTGCTTCCTTCAAAGGTTATGACGGCATCCCTAAATCATGCATGATGGCTATAATATTGTCATCATTTCCAGTAAATCTTTTATTATAACAGACATGATAGCAGCCTTAGGTGAAACCACAGGGTACCCAGCACTGCAAAAGATGCATTCACGAATGATCAATGACCCAGTTGGCCAAGAGATACTCAGGTATTATAAATATGTAGTTGTCATTTAACTCTTTCCGTATGCGTCAAAAATCTATAAGTTGCCGAAATAGTAAGCTAGAGCCCTGAAATTGCTNGTACACTGATTTTCATCTCAATTTGTAGCGTCAAAATATGTTCTCCTAGCAAAAAGTCCACTTGGTTTGCAAACCCCTTTGGTGGAACGTCCTCATTTCGATGTTTTTATTTTGTCAAATGCACTGCAGATTTTTAAACAGCCCTCTTTTGAAGACCAGGTACAACAAACTCCTATATGCACGATCGAAATGCATCATGGGAAGGCGGAAAATTTGGACATAAATCCTGCAGCATTCTTCTTTAAATATTTTTTTTATAAGTGTGAGCTCCCCCGCACCTACAGGCAAAATTTCGGGCCAATTGCATTCTTTGGTTGTCAGATATTGCCAAAATTACCTTGGTAGGTTGGAAAATCTGCCACAGATGGACCAGGAAAGCGATCTTACAATGATGTCTCCAGTTCAAAACAAACTGTGACTTGGAGCCATTGTCTTCGAAAAATAGCTTTCCACCTCTGATTTCTTCCAGAATATTGTCTCTGCCGACTAGTCAAGCTTAATGATGCAAGCCTAGGGGCTCCTGTGGCAGCAAAAAGCTAAAAAAAAAAACACTTATAAATGGTCTGACCTAAATGTACAAAGCCCTGCATAAATTAATGCTCCCCAGGGAATTCAAAATCCGAAATAATCTTATTGCCAGCACCTTATATGGAATTCAATTATTTTATCAAGATGTTAGGGTCGAAAAAGCTCAAAAATCAACAAATCAACATCCGTCGACAATGAGTTAAGGATACTATATACCATAATAATATTGTTATGTAATGTTTAAAGTCCAACAATGATGACTGGACGAGGTTTCACGTCCATGCAATTAGTTCCAGTCTGAGGCGTTTTGTGAGGCAGCCATGTACCAAAGACCTTTTTTTCACTAAATTAATTATTCTATATATTTAATTGATTATTTCTAATATTTTGATTATCATTAGCTAGTAGTAGTTAGAAACAAGGTAGAAATAACTAGAAATGAGTATGAGCAATACTTTTGCTAGCTTATTGTTGTACATTTTCTATAGTTTTACAGTTTTTATCAAGAAATTTTTTTTTATTTAAATTTTTAAAAGTTTTTTTTTATCAAAAGATTAAAACTTGATATATAATTATTATTTGTTGATTGTGAATTTGTAAAGTACAGAAAAATATTATCCGCATATTGTTTCTACCAAAGGCTCAAGCCAAGAATAACAGGTACAACTGCTCCATTAAAGGAGCTTAGAAAACTACCTGATGGTACATTGGGCAGAGAATATGCAAGATTCATGGAAAACAATGTAACTATAATTATGAATTTGATTCAATATTACTTTTCTAGTACATTTATGATTGTAATAAATATGTGTTGCTTTTTTTTGTAGAAAATTTCTGCAGACACAAGAACTCCAGTAAGTTCAAAAACATTTTCATTTATTACCTGGGCAATGAGGTATATACCATAATAATAGCCAACATGGTGGGAAAATTGAGGCTTTTTATGATTGAAAAAAAGCAATGATTGACTGGAATCATTTGTTTCCAGCCAGAGTCTTTTGTATAGTCCCCATTCTCATACCCAGATCCTTTCTTAATGGAAAATCAAAAGCTCTGGCTGGAGATGATACCTGAAGACCTTGAATCTGGGTCATATGATAGCATGCATTGGAAATGTAACTACCGGTACATAAAAAAATCATTTGTTTCCAGCCAGAGTCTTTGATTTTCTGGAAACTGAGAAGGATCTGGATACCCACCCCTGGCTCTTTTTCACTTGCCGTGATCTGGTCCTCAATTGTTGAAACAATGGATATTTGATTTATTTATGCCAGGTCAAATTTGTTGATGATAAAGAATTAGCTTACGTGATACAAAGATACAGAGATRTACATGATTTTGTACACACACTAAGTGGCATCCCGACTGTAAGGTAATGTACTCCAATACAGTATTGTACTGGTTGAAGGAAAGGAAGTCAATTATTGCGCAAATCCAAGAATATTTCAATAAATCAATAAGTCTCTCGTACATTCTGTATACCCCTCAATTTCCCCTGCTAGCAGAGTCTCTCTGGTTGTACTTTCCACAGGACTACAAGCAGAGAGACTGCTAGAAAGAAACCCTCAACATGCATACCTCCAATGAATTACTTAATATTTCAATGGTTAATTAGGTATGATTTTTACTGTTGTTAGGTAACGTTGTAATGTTGCTCTATTATACAGTGTTGCAGGAGAGATAGCTGTCAAGTGGTTTGAGATGGTTCATTTTGGACTGCCAATGTGTGCTTTAGCATCATTCTTTGGACCATTAAACACAAATGTCACATTCAAGTAAGCCACTAGTTGATAGGATCTGCTGGTAGGATATTTAGTGGTCATGCAGCAAGCAGTCTGTCCTGATACCAGGAGACAAGGTTCCATGATCTTTGTTGTGTTGTCTATGATCCTTATTAATGCATATTCATGATATCATGCTTGTATGTTGTCTTGTATTTGCTCTGGTATCAATACTGTCTCTGGAAGCAGTGGTCCAGCTGTAGTTGTACATTTAAGATTCTTGGCATAGCCATGGAGACATGCAATTCATGTTTGATGTTATTCTCAGCTACATGATATTGTTTTTCATCCATGACCTTCCTTTGCCTTCCCTGTGAATTTGTTGAATCCACTGTACTAAGAATTGCTCTAATTGTAGTATTTTATATTTCAGACAGAAGCAAGACCTTCTATGGCACTACATACCATGGGCAGTGAACTCCGCATTAAATGCAAACTTTGTTCTAAATGTGTTTTTTGAAAGACGGTTTGAGGATCCTCTTGATGAAATACGACAGGAACTTAATCTTATAACAGCTCCTAAATTRGATGGATGAGTAGTCTTTTGAAAATCCATGCTTTCATTTTAAATGCAATAAAAAGTACATTCCTCAATGATAGTAAATTGCATGCCATTATATCCATAAAACAAAATGTGTAGRACCCTTTAGTTTTTCACTATTTAGTTATCAGTTCAGACAGATTTATTGCTATAGGGCAATAGTAACCTGGTATATGGAATGTACATGGCATGCAGTCTATGCTTGTAATTTTAAATTGTATAATTGAAAGCTCTTGAAATAACCTAGATAATTGTGAAATGGATTTTGGAAAGTATATTTTTGCTGTAAATAGAAGAAACAGGTATGATCTATGTCAAGTAGTTCTTGTATTTTTCAGGTCAGACTCCTTGCCCGTGTGAAAACAGCTTCATCTGAAGGACAAAACAAGAGATTTTAGCTTTTTTGGAACTAGAACCATTGTTTTGACAACCAAATGCAGCTGCATTCACATGGATGACCTCTGGCATTTGTGCACAGAAAGTCTTTGAGATGTGCATTTCAGATCCTAAAATGTCTGTCAATACTCCAGAAATCTCTTTTGTGCAAATTTAGCTTCAATCAAGCATACATTTTTATTGTCTTCTTTGTACACAGGGTGTTTGCATAACAATAGATTCTCTGCTGAATAAAAGAATACATTTCTTGCTTTCAAGGTTAAGGCTGCACAAAGAAGATCTCAAAAACTGGAGTATTACCCTTATACATGGGGAGTCCTCTGGGGCTTACTACCAAAAATAAGAACATTTGACAATAAAATAATTACGATCATGACGATTCATTTTTTGTTGAATCTAATAATTATGGGTGAAAACAAATATTTCATAAAACACARCAATCATCAAAATGTACAGTTTATTGAGACTAAATCTGACACATTAATCCCGTCTTAGAGGGAAATACTCCTCTTTTACACCATCTTTGGTTATTAGATTAATGACAAGTGAGTCTCCTGTGTATATATCTCTTTCTGTTGCTGCAGAGAAGACATCTTTCACCAAAGACACTGCTTTCTCTTGACTCAATGCTACTGGCTCCACACCTGCTTGATTCTTGAAACCAATCTACATTGATGTACAACATATTAAATATTTACAAAATGAACTATCAAAACATGACTATATTTGAACATAGTTTGTAGAGGAAAATGGTTACGAAGCCTTTTGTTGTAGGTTTTTGTTAACTTTTTTCCAAGCGTGACCGTGCACAATCTTTTGTTCAACTGATTGTTTTAGCCAAACTGATCACATCTGAATGAACAGAGCGAAAATTATTCTTTTGACTATTTCTTCAAAATGCATGATGATTTCTAACCAATATTGGAATATTTCATTTTATAATCTCATAGAGGGTGTTTATATGTTTTATATGTCATTTTGCAATTTCCATCGTCTGTAAGAAAAAAGTTGTGCACGGTCTTGACTGATTCAACCTCAAAATACATACAAAAGATGTACAAAAGAAGTACAAGAAAAGGTTTCCAAACCATTCCCTTTATTAACTATGATTTAAATAGAGAGTTTAAGCATCATATTTATGGCTAATGGCAGAGCTGAACCAGTGACCTAAGAATTTTGTGCCTGACCTTGTGCTTTTGTAGTCATTGGAAAGAGCGAGTGTTCACGATTATGGCAAACTCAAAGTTACCCACTCTGGCATTGAAACTGTAACGGTAAAACCTAAAAAAGCTGGTCACGTGATCTTTTCTGCCGTTTGCCGTGAACGTCATGCTAAAGCTCTCTAATATATGTACATTATGGATGATATCAAAGGGTAAAGTCTAGTCTTCTCTAGTGAAGCAAGCTGAGATGGAGAGAGAGTTGGCACTTACACATGTGATAACCAGCAAAAGGAGAAGGAAGCATGAAAGAACAACAAGAAACAAAAACGTGC